AAATTTGGCAAAATGTTTCGATGGGTTTCGATTTCGATGCCTGTCGAAACCTCGGGGTTTTGCCCGGCAACCTTATTTTAAGCTGAATTTTTAAAAATATATAAATAATCAATATCTGTTATTATGTTAGGATTTTTTATAATTAAATTATACCTCATTTAGTTCTTAAAAGTGATATTTTCAGAATTATTAAGGTTTTTGAGAGCAACCGTATAAAATCCATTTCGTATAAAGTTTAACTTACTATGATCCCAACTTATTGGACCATCGATCTAGATAGCTTTATAGATTTTACTAAACCCACCTTCGGCTATAAATTCTATATCTTTAAATCGCTCATAAGTAACAAACTCCATTACCCCAACTTCTAGATAACTATTAATTTGCGTATGTCTGATAAAATCATCCACAATTTTGCTACCGTTTGGTTTATATAATAAGTTCGATTTATAGCAAATTCTGCAAATATTGTGACTTTCATTGAGGGGTCGTCTCCTTTTGTTACATTCATGACTTTTTTATATATTGGCTTATTATTTTTTTTTTATTTTTTGACTTATTGATGCTTCATTCGATTCTAAAAAGTTATTATCTGATTGATCCATAAAAATTTTTCTTTTTCTAAAAAAAAATATACGTTACATTAGTTATGCTTTCTGAGAAAAACAGGCTTAAATGTTTATCCAACTAAATAATACGTATTAATACATCTCTTTATCTGAACGTCGATTTCGTTATCAGAATTCTAGAAAAAGAAAATTAGTATTAGATTTGTTGTAACCGCGTTAATGTCCGAAATGATATCCCAATCGGAATGCTGAATAAATGCGAAGATCGTTTGGGATTGCTCTTGCACCAAATGGGCATTTGACCCAAATGAACACTTCGGACATCGCAAATGTGTATTTCAGATATCAACGCAATTAGGCTATAACAGATTAATCTGTACACCTGTGCGTTATTTTGTTTCACAGTTGAAAATATTCTACTTTAATTTTTTTTTCTTGATTTTTGTTGCACAATACTTAGCTCAATGTTTTATTGAATGATTTGATTAGCTAAAAATTTAAAAAAAAAAAAAAATAGAGCGTGATGCGCGCAGATTGGTTAAATTTTGCCACAAAAAGCTTATACAAGAGGATACTCCCTTCAATATTACTTTTCGGCAAGACTATCACCAGCGAGCTATTACATTACTCCTTATAATACAAATTCTTATAGCAAATAAAAAATTCAGAATGTTCAAATGCAACAAAAATTATATTTAATTTTTATGTCCTATATGCCATTGTACTCAGATCAAGCACTTCCTGGCTACTTTTAAAGCTGGTATGAACTGCTGAATCACTAGCCATCGCGATAAGCTATACTATAATAAAATTAATAGAAAGATAAAAGAAAGCATTGATCACCATTTTTATTTTAATCAATCATAAACTTATATCATTTTCTCATATTAGTAGCGATACATAAAAATAGTTTTAGTTAACTTCAGAAAAAATCTTTTCATCATATTATAAATAAATCTAAAATTGATATATAAAATATATTAAATGGTATCCTATGATTTTAAAATTAATTGTAATTGAACATTGTTAATGCAAAAATATTTGAAGTTTTATATTGAGTGAAAAAGTGTGCTGATACTTTTGTCCACCCTCTGTATTTTAAACACAATAAGAGATCGGGTAAATAAATTATATCAGAATTTTTATGAAATGGTAATAAGCAAATTATTATGACTTTTTTAAGTTATTTGAAAAATGTTTGGATATAAATTAGTATTTGAGTTTCATACTATTTTATAATACTCAATACTTGGCACAAATGATTAGAATCTGTACCTAGCGAAATTAATTAACGATCTAATAGCATTTAAAAATTATTCGAAAATGTTACCAGAAGATTTGTTAAATATTTCTTTTGCGAATGTAAAGGCTCGGTTAGTCAGGTAATTATTTTTTTTAAAAAAAAAAAAAAAAAAAAAAAACCAGATATAGCAGTATATTTCATATCACCATGAAAATCTCACGTGGATTTAAATATTCAAATTTTTCAGGAAACAACAAAATTTTGTTTCGCATATCACATTTTATTGACTGATAAAAATAGCACTTCAACAATTTGCTTATAAAATACGATGTATTCAATTTGACTATACTCTCAGCAGTAATAATCCGCATCAATTTTTTGCGATCAAAAATATTTCACATATTTCTACACGAAATTTGTCTCCAGTTTCTCTGATCGGTTTTTCATAATCAGACATTATACATTTATTACCATAAAAAGGACTTATAATAAGGTCTGAATAACCAAATGCTGGACCACAACTACTACAATTATATGTAGCACGTTGTTCATTCTTCACTCGGCTTAAAATATGATTATTAACATCATTTTTATCCTTAAATGAGAATATAAAACTATCTTTAGATTTACCATAAAAAGAGGTTATTCCAAATAAATCTCTAGAATCCCATGCGATTGGATTATACCCTCCAAGAATTTCGTCACTTCCTTCCACTTTAATAATCGTTATAGTCGGAAATTTATCATCACAAAGGTCATGAAATGACAAACATAGAAGCGCACCTCGTTCGCGAGCTAATAATTTGAATTCATATGAAGCAGATATCTGATCTGTAATTTCTAATTTTTCAATCCATTTTGTGATTAATTCTTCATGTTTATATGTAATGATACATGAATCCATATTAAATTTTTTAGAATCGCTTTCTAATACACCACCATTACCCAACAAACATTTTATCGAATTATCAAATAATTCTTCGGGTAAAATTTTCTTGTATGGATAAACTTTTTCCAGAAATTCTTTAGCAGTAAATCTAAGAAATTTAATATGAGGAATACATTCTTGTAAAGTACCTTTTAAGTTATTGAAGTCATCTTGTGAGTAACTAGAAGGATCCGAAGAAATTTTAGAATTCTGAGCAAGACCCCATTTAAGTACTTGATCCCAAACTTGAACCGCACTCATTTTGAGGTTTTCATTTTGAATAAGTGAGGTCAAAGCTTTTTTTGGTATCGTAATAAAATAAGGTGATTCAAAGAATTTATTCGGTTCATTTGAAATTGACTCCGTACAAACATTTTGAAGTTCAAGGTAAGAATCACTTTCTAAGCTTGTTTGATATATCAGATTTAAATTTTCATCTGACCAATTTTTCTTGTTTTTAATCAAAATAGTTTGTAAGTAGGTGATTAACTCTTGGAGACCTAATTCATTAGCGATAACCAAGGTTTTAACTATATCTGAATCATCATTTCCTTCCAAAGGAAGTTTTCCGCCATAAATGTACCTAAGAGATAGAAAAAAATATTAATTAGTGAAATTTTAAAAAGAGTAACATAATTTAATTAACTTGATCTAATTTACTTTAAAATTACTTGAAAATTTTCAGGTGAAAAGTTTGGTAATTTAACATGCACCAAAGTTTCATCATTCTTCTTTTTATTATTTGACAAAACTCTTCGAAAATAAGGGGAGCGATAATATAAAATATTCATATGAGCACGAAATATTTTCACATGAGGGTCGTTACCAACTTCAATAGTAATATCATAATATTCGTCGTCTTCTAAAATTTCTAGAAAGCTTTGAGATAACTTTGGTAAAAATTCATCATCCATTTCATTGAATTTTTTTCTAGAAGAACGTGAGAAATATAAAAATTTGTTGAATATATATAGACAGAATCGGTTTTGAAACGGGTAAATGATGCAAAAATTAAGTTATGATCAGCAAATATATGGTTAGTGCCAAATAAACAAATATTACTAAAATGATGTTGTTAAGGACGCCACATCGTAAGCTTTTAAAAGAAAAATAGAAGATACAATGTTATATAGATAATTAAATTTCTAAATATAAAATTTTTTATGGAATAATAAACATAAATGATAATTTCTACAATGGAATTGATCAAATTAAATGAATTTTGCGATTTTTATTTATGCATTAATATTTCTAAAAATTTAAAAAAGTCTGTTTATTTAGCCATGATAAATCAAATCTATACAGATTTTATCTTTTTACGATTCGACATTATTGGAAAAAATCGAGTCCATTCTATCAAATTATTCCATATAGATTTTAGCTAGCGAAAAAAGTCTTCTCATTTGAGAAATATTTCCAACATCGATTTGACAAATTGAATCTTTACAATTAATTCGTATCCTCTTGATTCTCCTTAAATCGGTTGTAAGGCCATGCAACTTCGATTTTTCGGTTCACGTAACATTGAAATTTAAAATCAACCCGGAGACCCAGAGTTTATTAATGATTAATAAATATGTTTATATATAGATATTATGTCAACTGATTGGTCAATATTTAAGGGACAAGGCCGTGCAAAGTAAATTTTCAGATTCTGTGACCCGGCGAAAATTCAGGATTTTTTGTTTATAGTAAAATTTTTTTCATGTGATTTACATAATAAATCGACATATCAGATTTTGTTAAAAATTTTCTTTGCTCGGCCTAATAATACGACAATCACATTTCATTTCAAAATCATCTTAACTCCCGTCAAAATGCCTATTATATATGTTACAATTCTAAAGTTTTGTAGGATTGGGAGTTGAGAAAGAAACAAAAATAAGATTTTTTTGGAAATATTTCGATTCTATTTTTATCACCTGACCGGTGAGAAGCAGATTTTGAAGTAAAGTTTAGCCCATCAAAAACATAGTTAGAGAAAAAATTTCAGCACATATTGCTTGGGAAGCTGCATGAAACTAATGAGTTGTAAGAAAGGAATTATATTAACGATAATACAATAAAGCTTTAATCTACCAATAAAATTACACTTTATAAGTCGCTTGATAAACTATTCATTTATAAACTTTTTTTTGTTTAAGTTTGAAAAGTGACCCGGCCGGGTGACGGGGTGACGTGAACCGAAAAATCAAAGTTGCATGGCCTAATCCAAATCCATCCCTAGCAACTGATGGCGTTAAAATATTCGATACTATAATGTTGATTGGATTATATTAAATAAAAGGGGATGGAATATGTTCATATATAGCATTAACCCCAATTTTTTTTTTTTTGGCAAACACCCCATTTATTAATTTAATCAAAAAAATTTTGCTTTAAAATTTTTTTTTTTTTTTTTTTTTTTTTTTATAAAAAAAGTAAATTTATTACTTTAGGCAAGTGAATTAAGTAAGGCATTGTGATTAGCGAGCTGTAACAAGGTAAATTACATGCAAACCGCTATATATGTGATATATCCTACTACAAGCTAAACATAAAGAACGGGGTGAGTAGACTAAAAACGAAAGGTAAATATTGTTTATTCGCGAGGCATGAAGTTTTATATACATTGAATTCGTATAATTATGTCTGTTCATTATTAGTAAAGACACATTTTTGTATGTTTGTTTTCGTTACGAATTTGTTCCGCAGTATTCACATTGCGTTGCCGATTGATTTTACTCTATTTCAGTTTTGCATAATATTTAAAATAATTGTCAGTGAATTTGAATTAAAAAAATTTTAATCCAATTATGTCATTCAAAATTTTCAATTAACATTAAGTTCCAGTCGTAAGAAATATCAAAAACTGCAAAATAATAATTAATCTTCTATAAAGGAACTAAAGAATTTGCTATTATCGTTGTTATTTCTAATTCATTATATTTGAGATATTGATTTAGTTTTTGTTGGTTATAATTATATATTTATTACAACGTGGGTAATTGTCCGACAAGTGAGTGGTGTTTGTCCTACACGTGATCTACCAAATAAGTATTGGTTGATCAACTAATTTGCCGTTTCAAAAAAAAAAAACGATACTATATTATTTATTTAATAAACGTTTTATTATCAAAAATTTTGTTTAATGAATGCCTTGCATAAACCCTCTATAACAACTTTTATTTTTAAAATTTAAATTATCTTTATAATGCATGAATATCATATTGTTCCATATTAATACGAGAAAAAATTAAAATAAAATTTAATTAATACTAAACGGTACGGTATAATAATAATAAAAAAAATATTTTATTTCTGTTCATTTTTTAAATAAAAATGGATTTGGATTTTTAATAAGCTAGAATTTTTTTGACAAAAAAAAATATATATATAAATATAAAATGATCCTTTGACGAAATCTTAAATATGTATTAGTTTCATAGTGCCGCCTCAATGCAGTTGAAGTTATATTTAAGCAATGAAGGTTTTACTGCTTTCCTATACCTCAAATTCGTGAATGATTTGACTTGTAGATTTGTTATGACGCTAGGTATTACATTTTAGTTATGTATAAATTAATGTTTTTTTCAATATATTTCAAGAATGTGTATTATGAATATATTATTGTAAATTGTGCAAATTGTAGTTAAAGTCTCACTTTATATTATCTATATTATCGTAGCGTATCTATTTGTCACAACAAATGCATAAGACAATGACAATTAAAGATGTATTGTAATACTAAATTTACGTCGGTCATGTTCTATTTAGAAAAATTTATGGAGTACAATGAATTTTTTTTTTGTACTGAGAAAAACCTTCTTATTTTGTTGCTACTATGTCTAAAATATTCAATAGAGTATTTAATTTGATATATGATGATGACATAGACAAAAGGTACGAATTGAGACAAAAAGCAATTACAGCTGATAAATCACTTACGGAAAATGAAAAATCAGAGGTATTGAGAATGTTGACTGACAAACATGATGATAATAAAACTTATTATAATGAAGGAGAGAATAGAATTTGTGAAAACTGCCAACAAAAATGTTTCGCAATATCATATTGTGAACTTTGTATTCGAAATTATTTAAGAGCAAAATTTTCAAATTGGACGTCCGGAAATGATGATATTGATAATTTAATGTAAACAATTCATCCTTTTATAGTTGAATGGGTCCCATAATAATTTGCAAAATATAAAATAACTAAAGGTGGATATTCTGAAATTTATATGGCAGATTGGATTGATGGGCATTATTATCAATGGGACTCTGACACACAGCAATTAAAGAGAGGTGGAACAAAAACAGTAATACTTAAAAGGTTGGAAAATGTTGAAAATGCTAAAAGAAGATGGTTTGATGAGGTACAAACTTTTTTAAAAAATCTGTTATTATTAAATTGTTAATTTATTCATTCTATTTATAGGTACAATCTCATTTAACATTAAGCAGTAAATTGTCAGAATGTGCTCAATGTTATGGTCTTACTCAGGAACCATTATCAAAAGATTATTTTCTTATAATTTGTTTATTAGATATGGATTTAAGGAAATATTACAACAAAATCATAACCAACTTACGTGGATAGAAAGAATCTTTATTGTTTATAATATAATTAAAAATATTTATTTCCTTCATGATGAGAATGCAATTCATAGAGATTTGCATTTGGGAAATATATTATACTTGAAGTATTCTGGTAATTGGTATATTAGATTTTAGATTTTGTGAACCTGTTGATAAACCATTAGGAAGCATACAGAAATCTTCCTTATATAGCACCCGAGGTTATTTCTGAAAAAAAAATGTAGTTTTGCATCAGATATATATAGTATTGGTATGATTGTCTAGACAACCACCATTTGCTAATTTTGATCATAATTATGATCTTGCAATAAAAATAATACCTGAAACTCCATATAAAAATTTAATGATATATCGTTAGAATGCTGATCTATTGAAGAGATATGATATAACAATTTT